AAGTGCTTTAAATGCTTGGAGATCTTCTTATGTGTAGAATGAAGAAGGCCCTGTTACACCACAGTCTCAGGAAAGTAGGCTGGGACACTCAGCAATAACACACACAGACCAGTTCTAGTTCATCAAGCTGGCCCTGACTGAAAGTCTCATTGCCCAAGAGAAACCACAGCTGTAGCAGCTCTCCTCTCGCCTAAGGCCTGTGACTGGGGAAAGTACAATTCCAGTGCCTACTGTTGAGATGTTTTCCATGGTTCTGGCTGTGGAGGACCCTACCCTGATCCAGAGCAGGTGCTCCAATCTCTGCCCTAATACTAAAATGTCTGCATGGCCACTCTGCTGGGTTGACAAAGAATGGCTGACTTTAGATGCACCCAAATTAAAAAAGGCGTCCTGTTCTCTGTCCTGGGGCTGGGAAAATGCCTGTAGCTTTTTCCAGTGTCTGTCTCTGTCAGTGTCTCCAAGTCTCTCGCCAAGTTAGCTCCAGGATTTGAGAGAAACAAAGTGCTCTCTCTCAGCCTGGGTTGCTCTGATCCTCAGTGCAAACGTGAGTCATAGAGGGAAACTTCTACCTCTCATGTGCTGGGACTTCATTCACTTTTATCAGCTGGACAGCATTATGGTGGCTGTTTGCCAGCATTCTCCTCCTCGGGATCTGGAGTGTCCTTCCCAATTACAGTGGATCCCCATTTTCCTTCTTGAATTAAAACTCACAGTATTTATCTTTATGCACAGCCTTGCTATTTCCAAGTGGCTGTGACATGCTAAAAGCCTCTAATAGCCAACTTGAAAAAAAAAATCTATCAACAATGTTTGATATGAGTTGGCCAATACCCAACTGAAAATAAGAAACATTTTTATGTGCAAGGATAGTCTCTGAGGTTGAGCATTTTTGTTCAGTGATGAGTCATTGGAATTACCAACATGCTTAATGCTATGGAAATCTATGGAACCCATTTCTTTAAGAAATGGATTCATATCGTAATAAAGAACATCTTTTTTATTGTTTAATTGCTGAAACAAGATGTCAGCCTATTACCCTAAGTAACCAGTTCAATCATAGCCATTCACATCATGTAGTACCAAGTGGTATTTTTTCAGAGAAATGAACATGAGGAAGAAAACTCCTTGACTGGAAAAAAATTGATACATATAATCATTACAGAGCTGTATATTTATATAACACTAACTGTGAGATGAATGGAGAGAACTCTGAGATTCACTGTTGAGTAGCTTATAATTTCCAAGTCGTCTGCTAGACATGAAAACTATTTAGTGTTGAACGAAAATATGATACTATATCTCACAACTCCTATATAAATGTTTCCATTCCTACTTTATTTCTGCTTTCATTTTCATGGCGCATCTACAGTCTCTCTTCTAGCCTCCCATTTGTATTTTACAACACACATAATTACAGATTTATTCTTTAATTTTCTCATTTTCATATGATTTTTATATCTCCTGAAAGATTTCTTTGAAACTTCTGCCTTTTTTATTTTCCAGAGCAACACAGTATTTTTAGGCAATAATATTTTACCTTATTATGCCTTTCAATTATTAAAAGAAAAAGGGAAAGTAGTAAAATAAACAAATGCAGAGAGTCACCAACTTACAATAGTTTCACTTAAGATTTTCAACTGTACAATGGTGGGAAAGTAATATGTATTCAGTAGAAACCATATTTCAAGTACTCATGCTACCATTATTTTTTCATTTTCAGTACAGTATTCAATAAATTACATAAAATATTCAACAGCTTTCTATAATATAGGCTTTGTGTAAGATTATTTTGCCCAACTGTAGGCTAATGTTAGTGTTCTGAGCATGGTTAAGATGGGCTAGGATAAGCTATGATGTTTGGTAGGTTAGGTTTATTAAACATATCTTCAAGCCAGGTATAGGGGTGTGTGCCTATAGTCCGAGCTCCTCAGGAAGCTGAGGCAGGAGGATTGTTTGAGCTCAAAGAGTTTGAGAATATAGTGTACTATGACCACACCTGAGAATAGCCACTGCACTCCAGCCTGGGCAACATGACAAGAGTCTATATATATATATTTTTAAAGCACCAACTTACAATATTATCAACTTATGATGGGTTTATTGGAACATAATCCTATCATAAGCTGAAGAGTATCTTTATATAGTAGAATATAGTAACATACCACAGACTTGCTTTCTCAAAGCATAAAGATAAATCACACTAATGATCACCCATGGGAGAGGGACACCCAGACAATGTCCTGCAAAATGAGAAATACTTGTAAGACATACTTCACATTCCTGACTGAGTCTCTTTCCCCATGAAATAAAATCATTAAGAAATTTTTAGTAATATTTTAATTATTATATTTTAATAAAAAATTTAGGTATAGAAAGAAGGTTGTATAGCTTTACGTTAAGAATAAATAATTATGTGACTTGGCTACTTGGCACCAAATAGCTTGTGTCAGATTCACCCTCCCACCATAAAAAACAATACAATCTGGACAAAATATAGAAAAAAATTCTTGGCAGGTGCATTAGTCCGTTCTCATGCTGCTAATAAAGACATACCCAAGACTGGGTAATATATAAGAGAAAGAGGTTTAGTGGACTCACAGTTCCACATGGCTGGGGAGACCTCACAATCATGATGGAAGGCAAAAGAAAAGCAAAGGCACATCTTATATGGCAGACAAGAGAGAGGGCATATGCAGGTGAGCTCCCCTTTGTAAAACCATCAGATCTCTGAGACTTACTCACTATCACAAGAACAGCATGGGGAAGACCCGCCCCCATGATTCAATTACCTCTCACCAGGTCCTAAACATGGTTCAGGTGGGCAAGGCTACATGTGGGAATCATAGGAGCCACAATTCAAGATGGGATCTGGGTAGGGTCACAGCCAAACCATATCAGCAGGCATTGAAGAACATTGCTGTAGCAAGTCACATATGAGATCTTTAAGGAAGGTGAGGAACATAGATTAGTACCACATTTGCCAGGATTTTCCAGAAAGGCATCTTCCTGACGTTGGTACAGGAAAATATGACCCAACCAAGGGTTAGTGGTCTTGGGAACCAAAAGAAGCAATGAATAGAGTTCAAAGCTGCTAAACTGGAATTGGGGGTCAATGTACCATATGAGAGAGAGAAAGAATCTAGAAATGAGTGTGTAAATGCCATTTTGGTCCTTCTGTGACTGCTTAGCTATATGACAGTTGGTTAAGAACAGAGGAGATCTAGTAGAAAGCAATGGCTGGCATACAGAAAACAGAAGAGATCATCAGGGACTGAAAACTTCCTGGAAAGCTACTGGAGTTCAGATCCAGCCAGATGGGGAAATGTTGGTAAACAACTGAGAAACTCATTTGGACTCTAAAAATTCTCTTAGCAGAGGGGCAGTATCCTAGGAGTGAGGCATATGTTCTAAGAGGAAAATAAAATATAATTACCATAACACAACTTAAAACTAGGTCTTGAGAGCAGCAAGATGATCTACAAGTAATTACAACTTTTGCCCAGAAAAAAAATTCAAAATTCTTGAGTATTTCTATATCATATTATCCATAAATTCAGCATACTTTTTAAAAAGTACCAAATATACAAAAAAGCAAGAAAAACAGACTGATGAGAAATAAATCAGTTATTAAAAACAAATTAATACATAATCCAGATATTGGAGTTAATAGATAGGGCATCATAATATCCGTGATCAATATAAAAGAAAGAAAGAAAAAATGAAAGACAAAACAGGTTGTGTCAGATTTCTTTCTGGCAGCTCTAAAATGCTCACTTTATTTTCATAGAGTCTAATTTCCTAAACTACGTTTGATGTTTCAAGCAAAAATCATAGCATTGTCTAGTGTTATTCTAAATGTATGTAAGACAATTATACTACAAATTTGAGAGAGTAAAGAGATATAATATGACAGAAGGTTGTTATACTTCACTCAAACTGGAATACAGATGACACCAATTTAGTGTGATAGTGTATATATAAAGGAATATATACTAAGCTATAAAATGCAACCAAAAAAACTATAAAAAAGAAGATACACTATAAATACTATGAATAACAAAATGGAATTCTAACACAAATATTCAAACAACCCACAGGAAGTCATGAAAAACAAGCAGAGAAACAAGAATTGATACAGAAAACAAAAAATATCAGGCTTATGCACTAAAATATCCATAATCAGGTGAATTACGAACGGTCTACCAAGAGACAGATAATAGAAGAGGGTATTTAAAAGTATGACCCTTTCTTATATGTTTCTTGTATGCTGTGTATAAGAAACTCACTTGAAACTTACCAATATAGGGCAGGCCAAATTAAAAGGATGAAAAAAGATATTTTACACAAACATTAATGCAAGGAAAGCAAGAGTGCCTGTATGTATATCAGCTAAAGCAAAGAAAATTACCAGAAACAGAGAGATTATATAATGATCAAAGGTTTAATCCATGAAGAAGACAGGAATTTTAAAAGTGTATTCACCAAACAACAGAACTTCAAAATATGTGATGTGAAAACTGCCAGAACCAAGGAGGGTGGGGCTCTGACCTGCGCTGTCTCAGGATGTAAAGTGTAACAAGGGGCTGAGGGGGTGGGGAGGGGCAGCATGGGGCTGTGAGGCCTGTGGAGTGCCCGCATTCCCCAATTCCCCCTGCAGCTGGCTCCGCAGTGGTCTGCTCCGCTTGGTTGCCGCGTGCCGATTCGGGTTCCAGAACCAAGGCTGCGTGTTCTCCACCGCTTGTTGTGGCCAGTGTTACTGCGGTGACCCCAGAGCAGCCTTGGCTCTATGAAGGAGCCAGGTGCTACCCCTCAGCCCTATTTGGGGCTGGTCCTGGAGGGGCTACGCAGCCTTGTGGCAGCACTGCCTGAAAGTAGGAGACCAGATTCGAATCCTTATGGTTTTCCATGGGACTTGGTGGTATGTGCAGCTGTTGTTGGATTTTTTTGCTGTTCTCCTTTTTTTGTGGAGAAGTTTTAGATCAGTTAGGAGTCGGCTTTATGTGGGAAGAGAAACGAAACTTGCTGCAACGCTTTCTGGACTAACTGAAGAAAAATGTAAACTGCTTGAAAAATTTAGCCTTATTCAAAAAGAATATGAAGGCTATGAAGTAGAGTCATCTTTAGAGGATGCCAGCTTTGAGAAGGCGGCAGCAGAAGTACGAAGTTTGGAGGCAGCCTGTGAAAGGCTGAACAGGTCCAATTCTGAACTTGAGGATGAAATCCTCTGTCTAGAGAAAGAGTTCAAAGAAGAGAAATCTAAACATTCTCAACAAGATGAATTGATGGCAGATATTTCA